ATCTAGTAGATGCTTTCTGTCTTATTTATTACTCAGATGGATTAATCTAAATCCTAATGTTGAGATTCACACTGAGACTAAATGGATATCCACGACACGATGATTCAAACCATTCTTAATGATAGTTTAAAAGTCATGTACTCTTTTTTAGATGAGATTGGATACTATTTTTGTCACACAATATATATGTATATAATGCATTGAATGTTCTTCTCATAGTTTTGTTTGTCCAAGTATTAGGTTTTGATTTTGCGTACTATCATTTGCTTTGCATATTATCATTTGAACATTTAAATGATTCCGATTTTGACTGGAAGGGAACAAGTAAGACTGAATTGATTTTGGAAACCAATTAGTATATAATTCCAGTCCTTGTTAAAAAGATGCCGAAATTTATTAGTAAAAATATCTTGTTAATTTAATCCAATTAATTTAAACTGACAAACTGTTTATACTCTGGACAATCTGAAAAGCGGTATAACGTGGTTTATGATGGTTTCACGCCTCATTTCGTCATATATTTAAACAAAAACATGAAAGTGGAATATTAACGCATGAGCTGAATTTTTCAAGGCCTTATGGCTTACTGTACCGTTCAGTTAAAGTTGTGCTACTCATTACATAAGATTCACCATTTTCTGTATACATCAAGAAGAATTTAGTATCTTGGGTACCTCACTTGAAGTTAACCAAATGCGACACAGGCTTAGCTGCATTTTTGTGTTGTTTTTACTGGAAAAATGTGTCTGCCGAGTTGGCGATGATACTCAGACTACCATTCAGCCACTAAACTGGAAAGACATCGCTAAAATCTCAAGTCGTTATAAACAAAATAAGTACCACCCTTCAAATCATAAATCACTAGTGACGAGTAGTTTCAGCAAACACAAATTTTCATTCGACATTTATTCCAGCTTTCTTAACTTTATTGTAAACGAGCTAACTGTAGGGGTTTGGTCAAGAATCACCATTAGGTCCCCCCACAATATGATATTCGGTCCTTCTCCACTACTTAGAAAGTTAGAAATTTCCACGTCATTGTATATCTAGATAAAATCAAAAGTATCTTTTCTCTGAACCATAAACACCTTCGGACTGAGAACAGCCGAGCTGAGTTCATGATGCATTCCTAAATATTCATTCTGAGGCCCTCACTTTGTATGATCATAGTTTGACAAATGCTCGATTTCCACAACAAACTGTAATCGCCGACACTAAAGCTGTAGCTAGAACCAATCAGAACTCCAGAGGACAATTTACTGTATGATTCAGACGGAAAAAATGTTGTCCAATCATGTTACAACAGTATTCCAATAATGTATTCAGTTCGTCAAATAGCATGTATGGTCGTGATGTTCGAGCAAGCGTCAACCTCATCAGTCGATGGTTTCACTGGTGTGGAATGAATATGATGAGAGTTAATGGACACACTAACCTGCAAATTTACAGAAATACAAGATGGATAAACATTATATATATCCCTGGGTTTCCCCTCCAACTTTTCCATCTCGTGTTGTGTACACCAGGATCGAACGGATACCTTTATATTTTAACTGTGGTCAGAAGGTTTACATGATAAAAAATTTTACTTAAAATCTACAAGGCAGATTGCAAATTGTGATCGGCCACCAATTGTTACGACAAACATCATACGGCAAATCAAATATAAGTTCTTACACGATTCGACTAAATCCTCATGGGAAACAGAATTTTAACCCGTAACCTCATTCAATTAAACCACAGATAGGCAGCGATTTATCATTCTTACTTAACCTATAAGCGTCAAATGCCTATCCGTATGTGTTTACTGGAGTTTCTTTCAAACATTCTGGCTCTTTGAACTTCTATTACTCTTTATATTTCCTAGGCAACTAACTTGGAAGATGTTTTTTATCCGCTGAGAACTCTTCAAGTCTGACATGAGCTCGTTGATCTCTCACTAATAGCCGAAAATGTTCACCATTCCACCACCATATTAGAATATTCAATTATTTCAAATGCTATGAACTGCATCCTCACCTTGCTGGTTGAAAAGCACACTAACAAATCTGACAATTGTAATCATACAATGGTTGAACCACTGCACTGTAGGTTTTATTTTCTCGATTAGCTTCTGTCTTCAAAGTTGCTTCAATTTTAAGGAATAAACATCTATTTTCTACGATAACAGGACCTGTGGTTAAGTTACCATACGCTTGCGAAGTTGATTGCTAGGACAGCCAAGGGCAACATTACAAATTTAGGTCAAAGATGTCACTGGTATTCGGAGTATGACAATGCTTTTCCACGTAATACCCTTATAACCTAAGTACGCCAACACAGCCAAATAAGGAGTCAGGAATGAGCGCGTTTGACGGTATAATTGGAAAACTGTCTATATATCGAGAAGCGTCTAGTTTTGGCCGGCAGGCACTTGCAAGGGATGTGTAGCGTGACATACCCATTAGTGACGACGTGCGACTGCGTTACCAATCACCTTCATCTAGGGTGTGTCCAGTAAAAATATTTAAGTGATCGTGAATGCCGAAGACCTACAAAACTATTCATTTTTGGGAGTTACCTACAGACACAAAGTATTTTTCAGGTTCAATTCTCGTGCAGCATAAAAGCACTTATCTCTGTTATTTTGCTCTTCCGAAACTGCTTTAGTTCTCTCGCACGTTACTATTCAGTCTGTTGAGTAGCATGTACAATAATACCTCTATTGCCAAAATGTGATGAATTGAAGTACTTGAATTATAGTATAAACTAGTAATCTCATAAATAACGCAATATAATCAAGACATCTTAGATAAACACGAACGAATGTAGTGTATTTGAAATTCGAGCAGTCACCAGCGAAAGAAGTCATTATTTCATTCTCACACTACACAAAACTTACATTATAACCACAAATAAGACTAGCAGAGGCACAGGTACAAATGCAGAGGTTAATAACAAGTTGAAAGTCCCCATTTCTAGAAACAAGGTGGTAAGGAAACAAAGTCAACACCGGGTAACGAACCTCTGCGTGATGGGTAAAACATGAATCACTCAACTCAAACACTAAAACTGGGGTCGGCTATCAGGTACTATACGCCATTACACCACTACGATAATTAGAGTGCTCAGAATACCTCGTCCGTTACACGTCACGATCAATTAGTCCCTAATCTAGTGGCTGCGGATCTCAGAGACCGGAAGGACTTGACTATGGCCCTTTAGGACAGGTACAACTCTAATAGCTACTTCTTCGGTTACGTCACGCATTGCGAAAGCACATCTAAATGGATTGGGCAACAGCAGAAAAGCATAACAACAGTTAACTTGCTGTCGATCGACCTAGATCAACAACCCACAGTAAAAAGCGTAGAGACCACAGGCCGCTAACGGTTGTTATGTTAAGCTCCCATAACTTACTCTGGCTTACGGACGAGACAATTTATTCTTTCGTTTTTGAGTTATATTTTGATCTTGTCAAGTATTGGCTTATCAAACTTGACTGTTTTTATGAGTGTGGGTGCACTTCTTATCTTACTCATCACATGTCTGTAACCCACTTTTTCTGACCATAGATGTCGATTAACTGTTGACTGAATCAAGTTAGCTCATACGCCTTCTCCATTGTGCATAATTTAATTTCTCTCTCTTCCCTTCATTTCGTTCTTCTGATTATCTGTTCAGATCAACGATTGTAGAAAATATACGTTTTCAACCTGCATTCTCGTATTTAATTTATTGAGTTCCATTAAGCACTTAAGTGGTTTTAGTCGATGATTGTTTGTATGTATATTTCGATAAAAATCGTTCATAAGATCTAACTGGAGTCAAATATAGAGCCTTTAAAACACCCCCTACAGTGTTTCTATCAGCGGCTTATCACATCAATTGCATCGATTGAAATGCTATCCAACAGAGTGTAACTCATCATGAGCGCACACTAGTAAGGCAGAGAACCTAGGTTGAGCAAGGCTTTACGCAGACACACAAGGGAGCCTATTGCAAGTAGAAAGTTTTCTTGAAGGTTTACGATCATAGCTCGTACTTGGCATTGGAGAAAAAATGCAAAGCCTAAGTCCGAAGCGATGGATGGTTCCAAACCAAGACAGCGGCTAGTGTGCGAACTGATCCCAGTTATCTCTACAGATTTAGGACGAGGAAAAGGTCCACAAATCAAGAGATCTGTACTGTTGGAGGGTCCAATGGCGAAGATCTTACAAACTTAGAGATGACGTAGATATTTGATGACTACTTCACAGACCACTCAAACTAGGAGCTTGTAATCACGAAACACTTCTCAACTCTAGTGTTAGTTGAGGGTTTGAGAGATGTTGAACAAACGCGCAGTTAAGCAATAAAAAGACTTAGATCCCTGCACTTGAGAGGGTCACATGGAAGGGAAAACATCCAACATGTGATCCTGGGACATTGAGTGGAAGCCATCAACACACCTCTGTGACCTATTACAGAAAAAACACCACGAACATCTTTCCACAGCATTTCACCACACAGTTCTGTCATTTATTTGTTTCCTCTCCCGGTCTTGTATTTCACCCATTATTCAGATCTCAGGCACTCCGTCATGCACCCGCATCCGATCACGTGTGAGTGCTCCGTGCTTCACGTCTCCTACGGCCGCTAGCCACCTTGGATTTGTCACATCTCGGTATGTCGTTATTCTATCAAATGTAACTTCCAGTCTCTTGACTTCTGACTTCATATTTCACTGTGTTGGCACATTTCGATAATAAAAGTTGATGGTGGTTGAGTTATTGTCGAACTCCAAATACATGTGGCATCCCTAATTCTGTATCACATAAAATTACAAAGTACTCTAGTAATCGCTATAAAATAGGGTTCGATGCCGTGAACGACAAAAATAAAAAATTCCTGTCTTTAATATTTTCACGAGCGAAAATTATTCATTCAAATAGTTGTTTCTTTGCTCTACACATTTGACCTTGATCGGGTTGTTAAACACACACATCTAATCTCGTGGATGCACCATATTAGTCTCAAGAATGACGTTCCTTTGCAGCAGCAGTGACTCAGTTGATGAAAGTAGGCTTAAAAAATTTTCGTCAAGCATCTTTAGACCTTGCATTAAAGCAGGCCAGAGTATTCATTGAGGATGCCGAAAATGTAAGTCTGTGTCATATTCATGAGAGTACTTTAGTACCGTTCGATAAATCACAAGTTGGACAAGCATAGTTTGATTATGTATGAGCTTTCTCACGGTTTTTATCTAACGATACTTCATCGGGCCTCCTTGGTGATATTGTTCTTGCTTCCCTTCTTCGAATGGCCTTCCTCCCTGACAATGTCATCCGATATCAGGTTGAAACTAAAACCTCCAAATCCACCATGTGGAGTTACAGAGGGAATTGAGTTTTTGTGTTTGTTGATCATATCGATCCAATCAATTTTACTGGTGAGTTTACGCGCTTTGTATCCATGTAGAGATTCTTAAACTATGAATTACAGTCTATGAATAACACTACTAATTTGTATTTGGGATCCGATAATTATGCGTCGTTATTTAACTTAGTTTAAGAGCTTGAGAGGAGTGAATTATATGTTTTGGGGAGTCTCTTGTCCTTTCAATTATAGTCCATACACAATGAACTGGTCAAAACTAGTTTTTTCGTTTCCACATTATGTTAGACGGTAAAGAACATTTTATCATTAACAGCCGTAAAATATATTACTCTCCCTAACTTAGTTTTTCATGTAGTACAACCTGAAGGGGTCACTGGTCCTTACATTTTCGAAGCTGAACATTAAATTCAAACATACTGAATTTAGTTTGTGATTCCGGGTTGTGTGATATATTTGAGTCTACAGTTTCAATTTCAACACGATTAATCTCTATAGATAAAAAAAACTAAAGCTTTGAAGCTGGAACAACTTTTTCGGTGGGTTATTCAAAAGTATAACTGCTCTAATCAAAATTCAAAATTGCACTTATGTAGAGATCGTTTTCGAAAGAGCTTGGAAACCGGCTTAATATCCTAAGCACGTCAAAGCCTTCACTGTGAGCTAAAAATGACAGCCTTTTTAGATAATTTTCTGGTGTTTTGATGCTTCTTTCAGTTTAAAAGTCAAATAACGGTCTATATTAAAAGTCTGTTTATAAAAAGTAATATGCTGTAAGATGTGACCGATTTTGTGTTAGTCTGTATTATCTTAATGTTCCATCTGCTAAATACTTGAAGAAGCTGGGAGATATCTCTTAGTTTAACCGGAAAAAATTCAAGTTACAACTGTGAACATCTTTCAGGCCCTGTTTACAATAATTAGAAGTGAAACCAAGATTATTATTTTCTACATGTTTTAGTTCTATATGTTAGGCTTCTAGTGATCGGAACTGGAAGGCTAGACGGAAGAGTTATATATGAATGTTTGTGGTCGCATTCACACAAAACTGTCAAAAATGAAGTAAAAGTGGTAAACGACAGAATAATAACAAGTTATGGGAGAACGAATGTTATTTGTAAAACTTTAGTTGAAAACCAACTACACTTAAAGAGTTCTCAAAAAGTCAGTTTTCTTTCCGACATCAGCCGCTTGAAAGGGTACATAAACATGCCACACAGTACGTTTAACTGAAAAATGCCAATAACGTCAAGATGTGAAAGGTATCCTGGAATATACATGTCACCTTGATGCTGTGTAAAAGCGGGAATAGAAGGCAATGAGGGCTTGAAGATATTTTTGAGCGCAAATGGTGACACAAAAAATAAAGGAAAAACATAATAGGCGATTTAGTTTGTACAAATAAACGAAACATACTGAATGTTAATATAACCACGGAATTAATTCCCCAAACAATAGGTGAAGTATAAGTTAACTGGGATCACGAAATATTACATCTTTCCCTAACCACAAACCAAGTTTCGCATGGAATTTTCCTCATCTGCCAGTTGTCAAGATTTTACAGTCTCATAGAAGCGACAAAACGTTTTATTTGATATTTACAGATAGTTTGCAATATAAATGAGTATCTTCTTTATGCAGAGTTATAAACTATAAAAGCGTTTTACCAAGATATCAATGTACAGAACGTATCTAGTATAATAGTTTGGACCACGTTTTGGTAGAAGCTTGATGGAAAACAAACTTTTAATTATTTTAAAGTAATCAATGACTAAAAACTGTGTGTTTTTCTTTGCAGATTGTACAATATTCTTTTATAATCAGGTTTGACTTCATTTTATATCTTTAATGTGGTAGTTAATAGTACATCAGGACAACTACACATTTTAAATTCAACATTATTGAAAACCTTTTAACACCCAAAAGTTTGTACGATGACAAAACTAATTGTATTGCGCTCAACAATCTGCTAGATAAATTATCAAACAACAAACTGCCTACAATTCAAAGCGTATTATTTGAAAATGTAAAATCGTGCGCCAAACTATTGCATCATCCTATTACAAATCCCGTAATTAAAATATATGTTTGTTACTATCTGATTCATTTAGTCCACTCAAATCATTTGTATTTGACCAGCTTTTATAAGTAATGAGGAACTGGTAACTTAAGCTTAATCAGGTAAAAACAAGCTATCATGCTGAAAATAACTATTTTGTCAATCGGTGCACTAAATTCTGATGAGTTTATTCATCGGTTTGCCTTTTGTATCCCAATGAATTCATCGCGAGGGTTTACAAGCAGACTGTTCACAATCATATGTCTAACCATATTTAGTTAAACGAAAAGCATTTCTAAGACTACGAAACACTACTTGCAAGACCGTCTTTCTAAGGAAAGAAGAATGAAGTTAGTCATTTTAGCTTTTGAAAATGGCCTAATTTATGGTTTTAAAAACTGAGCTGAAAATATTCTAAAATTTTATTTACATAGATATAATGTTACGTCTTCTGCCTACTATCTGTAGTTAAATGACCTAACAACTTTAAGCGCTTGCATCATTTTGTGTATTAATCTAATAATTTAAAAATGTTTGTTTAACCTCGTATTTTGATATTCACTTTGGGTGTACAAAATTAGCTTGATGTTTATAAACTGGTTTTCTGAGTTTTTTTCATACGTTGAGCCAACTCTTTTGACTACAATTTTTTAGTCAGGAGCATTCGGACTTCCTTGGGTTCGTGAAAATCGGTGGTTAATTGGAAAATATATTTTTCTTGTAATTTATCTTTTGGATCTTATAGTTTCTTTGTCGCTTCGATGCTCCGAAGTAAGACATAAAACCAGATTACATTTGAATGTTATTTTATATTAAAATTTGCTTACATTAATGATATCTAAAAATGACTTCTGTCTAAGTTATTCTATATTTAATCAATATTTAATTCCGTGTACATTTCAGTCTCATGTGTTTATCTTGAAGTAAATCCAGAACTCAATAATCGGATTTGTCTTTATACATATATTTATGTATATATATTAACCGCGGATTTATAAACGAAATTTTAATCATGTCAAATGTTTGTACTCATCATTTCTTATCAGTTTTCCGACGTTACCATTCAAGCAGAAATGTTGTTAACGGGTTACGAGAATCACCAACAAAAGATGACGTCGTAACCAGTTTGTTCGGAAATCTGGTGTGTACTCCAACCTCGGTAAAGCTTCAAAAACAGTGATGATAGATGCATCACGCATTTTTCTAATAACAAGCACTAATTTGGAGTTCCTTCTTAACTTTAACCAGAATAAGACTGACTAATAAGGAAACTTATGATTAAAATTTTGCTGTGTATATCAGTGTAAAGGTATTAAGGTAGGTTTGAATATTTGTCCAAGTATACACTAAACCAGTCTAAATAATTCAAGAAAGATAATCTGCCTTTAATTCGTGATTGTTTGTATTGCGCTTTTATTTTTGTTAAGGGCTTCAATTGTTCATTCCATTTTTGGCATATGTACCCCATGTGTAGATTGCTTCGATATTTTTGTCCAGTCACTTAGTTTATTACCACAAACTGCCATTTTTTTCAAAAATCGTCTTCAGTGTTTTGAATAACTCTACCTATGTAATGAATAAATATTATCCCCAGGCCACATAAATCTATGCTTGGATATCAATAGACTTTTGTAAATACAAACGTATTTACGTTCTCTGATTGAAACATGATCTATATTTTGGTCAGGTATTATTTATCGAACGATAACTGTAGGTCACAAATAGTTCAATTCTACTTTATGCGACGAGCTTATTTCACATGTCGACGTTTGATTTTATGCTGTTCTAGTTTAAACCAAGCAAATTTCACCTAATTGTTTTTTATTCATCCAGTATTATCGCATCCGTCGTCTTATTCGGCCGTATTTTCTAATCAGTAGCTCACAATTAATGAAGAAAGTTTTAAAATGTTACAGAAGAACACTGCCAACACTGTTTAAGTAAGCTGAAAACATTCCATTTAGTATTTTCAAACGAGAGCCAGTTAAATTCATTTTAGTCATATTTTTCTCTATTTTTCAATTTGTTTTGTCAGTTGATGTGTTACTAAGCCTTTTAACTAAGCTGCTTAAGTTACAATATCAGTTATGAAAACTAGAACATCTCGGTTTTATTTAAAGGTTACCTGATTAACAAGACAAATAGAGTAGTATTGCGAATACGAGTATTGAAAAACGCAGGTAACAAAACTTACCAATACGCTCAAATTACTACTGTCGTGATAGTTCAAGGATGACTGTTTACCACTGTGAATCGAAATAAACTGTTAAAATGTTCTTTTTTTTCTAAGGTCACAGATAATCGTACTTTGCTTTCCTAAAAAAATATATCTGTGGACCATTGTCAAAAGATGTTTTCCTCTTCGTTTAGATGAGTAGACAATTTTTGTATATCCATCGGAGATATTAGTAAGTAATTTAAACTTTTAAGCCACGCAAACATCAACAATCAATGTTAAAACAACATCTATGACTCTATACACATTACAGTTAGACTGTTTGAAAGCTTCATTTGGTCTATATTTGATTTCGAAATGAAAGATGCTTTCGGGAATCTTTTCACAATATAATGTATGCCGATAACTACAGCCGCCGAAATGTTGAAGATTCTTAATCAAATTAGTTCACAGTGAATGGAAAAACAGTTTGGAGCTTAGAAGTGTAATACATCAGCATCAAGTACAACGATGAGTAAAGACGTGTTGGATTCTTACTATAGCCAGATGATCGTAAGACAAGTTACTAAGAAATAACCATCAAGTTCTGATTACCTCCGAAAAGCTATAACATTTATTATTTTTTAATTTAGTCTCAAGCATTTACTTTTCCGTATCAACGATAGATTAGTTATCAAAATATTTAAGTAAAAAAACCAGGTGAACGACATTCGAACAGTGAGAGATATAATAACATATTGTATCTAGTATCTATTTTCGTCATCAGTATAAATTTTGCGTCAAATCACGTAAGTCAGAGAGGTTAATTTATCCTATGAAATATAAACTTTGCCTTTTGAAAGGAGAAAATCAACTTTTGGCTTTCAAGTCATGTAATGTAGTTTTCGAGGTTTATCTTTTGAAAGCATAAACAAATAATATTCTTGATCTATTAGTTCTTATTTTTTTAATGATTCACTTCGTGTGTTACATTTTTGGCCAAAATAATCAAGTCTTCTATTCCTGCTGGGATTTTGGTTAGTTTCGGCTACTTTAGTTGCAATGTGCGTTTTCAATAAACCAAATCGAGATTTAACTAAAGATAGTGTAAGTTACAATAGTATGTCTTTTGATGATAATTTGTCTTTGTAGTTCTTGTTAAAACGATAAATGTTAAAAAATCATAACCTTTAGAATAAAGCTAGTAAACGTTTTATATTCTGTTCAATATTGGTTGGAATTTCACCCAAAAACGTCAAGAATTACATGTAATCAGATGAAGAGTAGGATAGCTTTGAAATGATTGCAGTTGTATATTGATAAATTATGAATATCATACAGCGACAACACACAGCTGGCCAGGAACCAGAGATTTCCTAAGTTTGATCCCACGTAGAGGATCAACATTACCTATTTCTTCGAAGTCACGAATTGATGTGAAAAATCTGTACCTAAATTTCTGATAACGAATAAATTTGTAACTGATATTAAAGTAAAACGCATAAATGGCTTTGAGATTTCACTTACATGGTTTTGTTCACAGTATTAAATTGGTGATTTAAGTAATTAACTCGTTTGTTTTTGAAAAGTATAGTTTTGCTTGATTCATTATCTAGTATTAAGTGTTCAATGACTACAGTACTTAATAGAAACACGGAGACAGATTCACGTGCTTGAAAAAACTGGACGTTTTACTAATCTGTTTTAGTTCGTCCAGTATTTATAACTTTACTAATAATATGTCAGTAATTTGACAGACACCTTTCAGAGTATTACAAGCTTTAGTTCTGACGAAAACAGTAACATTATCTAGGTATGTTGTCAAAAGTATAAAAACTAAATAAAATAAAGTAGTTCACTACATTATTTTGTATGTATTTGCATAATGGTACTTTACATAATGTGAATAGGCTTTTTTTAAACTGTGGAAACAAAATAACGAACGACAAATTGAAAGGTTGGATAAACAAGATTTCGTTTTACTAGTTGACTAAAATGAAATCCACAAATAAAAACTGAAGATGATATATACCTCTCTTCCATAATGAATGACCTGTATTTGCTAAAATAATACATCAAGTTCTTCTTCTACACAAAGTTACAAGTGAATCATAAAATTTATTTATATTATTTGTCTAAAACATGTTTTGATTTCGAAAATGTATTACACTTATTACTACCCCGAAATTGTATTGGATAAATGTAGTAAAACTATAGTAAACAAAATTACTCTTGGTAGCCATGTTAAGTGATTTGATAATTTTTCACAGGTTGTAAATACCACAACTACTGCATTCACTGACTTCTATGATACGTTATTCAGTCTTTTGGTACTTTTAACCACAACTAATCATCCTGATAGTAAGTCAAACAATTTTGAAAAAAAATTTGTATATGGGGTGTGTCTAGTGTTTCGTTAATAATTAGAAAAACTGTATTGTTTTTTAAATTAAAGATTTTCAATAAAAACAACCACTTCAAGTTTGGAATTATTCGTTGGTATCTTGGTGGACAGTCAGTTTTAAGTGACTTGAGAATGTTCGTAAAATTTGAAGTGGATTCTATCATTCACTAACAAAAATTAGAGAACCGTTCCATAGCAGTAGCCACTGGACACTTTGTTCAAAGACTGAACTTAAATGCTTCAAATCATTCTCCAAAGATGGTACAGTTGTGATATTGAATTGAAACGTAACGGTTTACATTTCTAACTTCAGTTACATGACGATATGGCACAATCCTCCCCTAATATCATATGTGAATAAATGTTCCACACTTGTCTACTTTATTTCTACATATCAAAACTAAATAATTAAATGATTTAGAATATTTAAAAATATAAATAGTTGAGTAGTACTTTTATTGAAAATGAGCCATTGTATCAGTTACAATTTTTACAACAAATGCAACTAGACGAATAGTTTTAGTACAAGGTTTCGTCATTTCAGAGATTTTAGGTGGACCAAAGTTAGTAAACTATAACATTGCAACGAATGTACCTCAATACACTTATTTCGATTGTGTCTGTGGACCTAGGTATTAAAACCAATATTACAGTTCAAAACTTAAACATGGGAATCGTAAGACAAAAAAGCATTTAGAAAGGATTAGTGACTTTTGTAAAAAGAAGGATCAAATAAATATTAGCAAGAGAAGTAAGTATTCACTATAAATGAAACAGTAAACTTGTTTACTTATAATATTTACACTAGTTTGGTTTGAAACCATGGTGGTCTCTGAGTACGTTTATACTCAATACGATAACGTTAACAATACACTCTTCTTTACAGTACAAGCTTTGTGTGATTGATGAAATGAAGTGGTTAAAACAAATTTGTTAATTTAGCAAATAGTGTTTAGCCAGATGAACAAAGTTCATTAAAATAAAAGATGGAAGAGCACACTGAACTAAATTTTAAAAATCTTTCAAATCAAGTAAATTAGCCATACCGATTACTATAAATAAATGAATATATTTGTAATATCCCAACGAGCAGACAAAACTAGATTTTCTGAAGTTTCGTGACTCAGTGTAAGCCACTTCTTTATAACAATCTACCCAATGCTCAATTTATTCAAAATTATCATACAGATTACTGTCTTTTGAAAAGCAGAGTTTTAATTGAATATCGTGAGCGACGTTGGTTAAGATAAGTTTATTAAATTGGGAAAAAATTAGTGAACACTGAGAATAGTTGAATCCAATGGATTCATAAATATATATTCAAATTATATTATGTTGTTTATTGTGAACCAAAAGACAGATGACTATATTTCTAGAAAAATTAATAACCTAATGTTATTGAAAGAGCTACATAAAAAGGTTTCTAGTTGAGTAATCACCGAGTGGTGACGAATGACACGTCTCTCTATCCCTTTAGGGTGTATCAAATCCTGTTGAGTAAGTTTAACTGTCAGGTGATATGAGGTAGTCTGAAGGAGACTTCTGGTCTGGGTTTTGTTGTATTAAATACTTGTCAGTAATGTTTATCTGTAATCTTGTAAGAACTGGTGCTCATGTTGGATTCAGAACCCTAATGCCTGGTCCACAGTTTTAGACGTTACCACATAATTTTTTAAAGTAAATAACTATGAAGTCTAGAATTTAATTTTCTTCCCATATTTCTCAACTTTTGAAAGAAGTAGAATGTTTTTAAAGGAAATTACCACTAAAACTGTTTGTTAGTGTTCTGAACCATCTTGAAGAACACGTTTAGTATACACAAGTTAATAACGATGAGTTAGGCAAAGATCTTAATCCTCATTTGACAAAAGTCAGTAAAGTAAACAAACGGTGACCAGTGTTTTTGATATATATTCAATTTTTTCGCCTTGATTCGTTGAAATAGTATTTACTTATTGTCGTAATCCCATTTTATATTTAATAATGTTTAATAGTTTTAATTCCACCATATAATGGGAATAGAGGAACTGCAATTTTCTCAATTGTTTATCTTGGTGTTGGATTGTATGTACTTTTGAATATTCTCACAGCTGCTGTTTATAGTCAGTTCAGTGGCTATTTAATGGTAAGTAAATCAAATATAAATTATAGAATATTAATCGTTGAATATTATTTTATACAGTAAGTAAATTTAATTTTGTTCAAAAATAAAACTACATAGTTTAACCTTAGTTAGATATATAAATCTAGTTGGTCTATTCACTAAACGGTTGATGCCACTAGGTTGACAAAAAATTTGTCCTTTTATTCTAAATATGGAAAAACATCAATCACTATTTGATGATAGCTATATGTTTAATCCATTTATCGAAGATTCTTCCTCGATGTGTACAATCGAGATAAGTGATGAAATAATTGAAGATATTCAGTTACCATTAAGAAAAAACTTGTTCATTACTGGATCTATTTATTTTCCTTTCCTCCATAGATTCGAGTTTTGTTTTTGATATAAGTATACTTCTAGAGTAGTTCAACTAAATAAGCACTAAGCATGTCTGATTTCGAAAACTGGAACGTTTCTTTGTAAAAATGTAGCTCTAACAAATGAACAACCATTATATTCATATACTTTATTGAATTCTAAATCCCTTAATTGTTATTTCACTTCATTACATATATGATACGTGCTCTTAAGAGGACTGAAAAAGGATGTTCGAATTATATGAAAATTTTATTCAGTTATCTATCATAGGAATACTATCAACTAGCTTGCATTTACCTTATTTTTGAAAGGCAGGTTTCATCATTCTTTTTATCTTTATTTCATAACTCACTGTTGAAAGTCTTCAGTTCAAACCCGTTTGATGAGACGTCGCGTTGCAACAAGAGCAGCTTTTGAAGTATTGAAATATGAATATAAGTGAGTTTGATATATATATATATATATATATATATATATATATATATATATATATATATATATATAGATAGATAGATAGATAGATAAGTGAGTATTATCTTAATATTAATTGTATACTATAGAAAATAAACACTCTTTGTTGTATATTTGGAACCTATTAATTTGAAAGTTTTTTTCCGAAATATTTTACTTCTGCCTGCTCATAACGTTTGAACTCTTCCGAATCGTGGAATGTTTTCAAAAAAAGTTCTTATATTTTAATTTTGACATATCATTTGCTTATGAAATGATAAATAATGTAATTTTCATCATAGATCGACATCATCTGAGGAACCACATGAAAGGCAGGTATCAATTAACATAATTTTCATTCAATTCGACCAAATAATAATAAAGTAATCCCCAGTAAACAAGTTACAAATGGATTGAGAAGTTCTAATATGAAGTCTTAACGAGTGGTGTTCAGTAATTTTCTAAAAGTGCCAGATAATGAGCAACATTAGTTTTTTATAACGAACTAAATCAAGTTAGAAATGTAGTTCACTGAACTTTAACCCAGTCCATTGAAAAAGCAAACTCTCTGTTAAACCTCACAGTCCTAAATTCAGTCTCCAGCATCGAATTAGATTCGAACTGGTGATGTATCACAAAATATGATATAAAAACTATCCAATGCTTCCCGGTTTTAAACTGTTCCCCAAAAAATAGTGATCCATTATACTAACTACAGTTTTTACAGATACGATTTTCACAGCTTACTGTGAGTAAACTGAGAACTATGCATTCATATGCAACTCTTTTAGTAGTTTCAACTCATTATTTTCCTGGAGAAATCAAACTTCATCAAAACAATAAGAACACATTGATGCAGAAATTACATACGATTATTTCCGTACATACAAATTATATGTAGTTTTTGGAAGCTTTAACTAATCAATGATAGTAATAGTTTTTTACAGTAGGAATTAGGCTTTGCTTTGAAGTACCCATACAATTAAATTTTTTTCAAACATTTCCATAAATGAAACAGTCTAACGCTTTTTGTGATAATTAAAAAGAACTTGTGAAATTACATAATCATCATTGTTTAATTCGATATTTTCAATTTATGTTAAACATAATGAGTTAATTTCAAATTTCAATTGTAGTCATAGTGAAAAATGTATTGGTTCTTCTTCTTCAGTGTCATTTGATTGTTATTGAACTTTTAAAGGGAATAAATTTATTATTATGTCAATATAAGGGTGAAAAAAGGTGAATTGGTGATCTGGAAATCTTACGTACTTGAGAATCTGGAGAATGTTGAACCAAAATAAAACAGTTTACATAACTTATTCAATTTAAATAGAAAACCACTGAAAACCCGGGAGAGTTGAACATTTGTTTTGTTGTAATATGAAAGCCTTCATTAGTTAACATTGACAAATATTTCTCAAATCACCAAATATTCTGACGATCTTCAGTTTAATCAACAACGAAGTCATAGATGTCCACTCTTGAAGAATCGCATGCTTGGACAAAACTAACATCCAGTTCCTTCGACGTTTTTAGATAAAGTCGCTAAAATTAGTTCATAACGTGAAGTAATATCGATTTGAAGATCTTCTTGAAATCTTCCATTTCGATTAAAATTGGTATTTTAATTAAATTAATCATTCAACCTGTTATTGGGCTATCATCAGTAGTAAATGAGCAGCTGAATAATGTTTTATTATTTCTCCTACAAAAGTTTATGCAAAACATACGAGAAATACCAAATAGAGATAATATTTAATGGTTTCTCTACTGATTTAATTTTATGATTTAGAGTCCTTTGATTTCCATTTAACGTTGATAACTACTTTCATTGTGTATTTTCATCAAAGGACAATATCAATATGTAAACAACGATACCTGTCTCAAAGAAACGTAAATATAACAGTAGATTTTATATGTCTAATCAAATACCAATGAAGCAACTGACTTCATATTAACAGCTAGACGATTCTCGTCTCTCAGCTGTAACCAAGGATAGACCACACATCGTATGACTAGTGTACCTGATTCCAGAGGCACTGATAACCATGCGTCCTATCTGAAACATCTCAGGAAAATAATCTTGAATATTTGGAAAAAATACAGCAACATCTACAGGGAATAATATATTAGAACTATATATATATTAACTGTGAAATCTTTTATTTTAAAAAATTATTTTTTTCTTCATTATTATTATTGGATCTGACCATATCACTTACATTCAATGCTGTTTCTCTTTTTCTTTAATCTTAGTGGCATGGAGCTAGTATCAAGTGATGATATAGTTGGACTAATTAAAACTGTCCAAATAGATACCTGGAAGAAAGATACACTACGTCAAGTAAGTATGTTCAAGAAGATTTTAAATTATTATTATCATTTTGGGTAGTTGTGCTTTCGGCATTCTATGCTTAGTCTCGATTAAAATTAGATGGTTTATTGTACTTTTTAAATGATTACACTGTCTTATGGAATAAGAAAAATAATTTAATACACTTTAGTGTAGAATCACGATGTTAAGATAATAATATAACGTTTATCTTTGTGAATAATTACACTGATTCTAAAATAACATATGAACGATCCTTTGAGATTCATCAAACAACATTGGTTCTTTTGGGATAGCTAACAAAAGAGATCGGTTAGTGATAGATTATTGAGTCCTAAAATATAAAACAAGAAAATGAGATTTCTTTTAAACAAAATGATTTGGTTCAGAGGGGGTTTTGTGGAGAATTTAGTATTTTCATAGTTGAAATCATGAGTCAATTGAAGCTAGATCACCATGGAAAACCTGGAAGCACTGTACGGTCGTTTTGTCCTACTATGGGACTCCTCAGCAGTGTGCATCCACCACCTCGCCTTGGTGGACTAGCTTCAACTGACTCATGATTTCAACTATGAAAATGATTCGGGTTCAAATTACTTCCATTGTTGTGTTTGTTAGAATGTATACGTTTAAAATATTTTAGGTTCTTTTAAATTAAAGTTATGTGACCTTATGGAATATATTCCACTAATTCTTAAGTAAAATATAATGAAATTTATGGTTTTCCTCTAGTGAATAAATGATTTATATATTTCACCTAGCAATTGGACAGTAAAATAATTTCTAAATTGTTCTGTAAAGTTTTTCTGTTTTCCACACCACTACATTCAAATGGACAAGAATATAAACCGTAAAAATTGATACATTTTAGTGCAAACAATTCTGAAATGTAAATGTTTATTAATTGAATTAATGACAAAGATCTATAGCTCTGGTGGATGATTTGATGTTTGTTGAGTGGACAGTTTCAACCAACGAGCTGGTGGTCAAAATCTTAGTAAAATTTAAAGATGTTTTTATGCATGTTTTTAAATAGGTGAACAATCTTTTGTAAGTATTTGACGTACTCATTATTCAGTTATATACAAAGTACATTCGTTAAAACGATGGAACTATAGCCTAGATGTTAAAGCGTTCAACTTTACACAACTACGTCACTGGTTCGTCTAAATGTACCTACTTCGGTTTAGGAAATCGAATAGTATAAACAGCTTTTATGCATAAAATGTGGCTAAAAGCCAAGTTCACGAAACTGTACTTGATATGTTTCATCATTGTTAACATGTAACCTTACTTAAAGTGTTTATGTGAAAAGTGTGATAGTGATTTGAAAACGTAATAATGTGCTTTTGCAATATTTCCAGCATATTAATTGACAAGTCTGAAGTATAAAATGCATTTCGATATGAAAATCAAATACTTCTATTCATCAACATTTTGGTTAATACATTTATTAATATACATACTATTAAGAGGAACTTTCTGTAAACTGAAAGTTACCATTTCATTACAATTTGATTTTTTTTTTTTATAAGGCATATTTCATGAGACATGCACATGGAAATATTAATGCAAAACAATTTATGCAGTTATTTCAAATTTTGGATTTATCTGGTCCATCAAATCAGGTAAGATGAATCCAACTATTGCCCATAAAAGTAATGTTTATTTATATTACCTATTAATACACTGTAAACACTAAAATCACCCAATGGATGTATTTTTAAAGTTATACAACCATATATATATATATATATATATATATATGCCACAGAAAAACCAAAATACTAGGCTATATAGTATAACGATAATAGAGCACAGCTCTTTAGCTTCTTCAGAGTGTGTAAATAAAAAGAGTAGGTATTAAATTCAAGGCTGAAAATGGATTATCAAAGTCAATGACACAATAAGCTCATGAGATTTATTCGTTGTTTATACTTCATCGCAGAATATCCCCTTCAAATCTCACGTATATGCATGTATAATTGAGCAATTTGATAATAAATTCACAGTTCAGAATTCCGTTTTGTTGAATACTTTCAGGAAAATTTAGTTCTTTATTTATCACTATTTTCCACTCAGTCTCTAAACGGCGTTCCTAGGAAAGAATTACTACCAGTAAATTATCTGAATGACTAATTGGTTTCTCTCAACCAACATGGTTGGTAGTAAATTATGATTACAATGTCAGTAAAAAAGCTTTACCTGTGATCAGCATTTAAATGTACTGTAAATTATGTAATTAAATGAAAGTTTGTTTAGCATACTGTAAACATTTATTTTGTTACCAAATCTCAATTAATAATAAATACTAATGGAGATGAGTTATTGCATAGATGTTATTTTCGCTACACTGTTAAATGGCACAATATGTATCTAACAAATAGTTGTATACTCATTTAACTACATTCAACAGGTCATTACTTCATTTAAATTATGATAACCTAGATAACAATTTTCCCGGTCTACACAAGGTTATATTAAAGAAACTACAGGTTTCAAAGACAGTCATCATGTTTACACAAAATGCAAATGTATTTCACAAAAATGCCTCTTTTTTGTTGTGAATACTGTGAATTTTGATTGAAATATTAACATTCTTTGGAAATTGTTTACATTCTGTCCTAATAATGCAACATATCACGACTTCATTGAAGAACATACTATTTAAACTGAGTTAATCAACAGACCTAGTTATTTCTTGAATCAAATTAGTTAGATAGTTAAGTATAGTATTTGCAATTTCTTTAACGTTCGTTTTGTATTTCAGTCAGTACATGAACAAGTACCATCTCTTAGAGTGGCTCGTATATTTCAAACATGGATTATGTCAAAAGGATTTGAGCTGGTTCGGATTATAATATCATTTTTCAATGTAATATTTTTATGTGTAAGTTGACAAGTGTTAAAATCAATTGACAGTTTTTTTTACTCATCCAGAACATAGTTAATTCATGAGAAATATTTGTGAGTAGTATGTTGAAATTTATTTATTCGCAAATTTCCTTCGCATGCATTTCATTCATTCACAAATCATATTTTTACGTTCCATTTTCGTTTATCTTTGTTGGTTTATTTGGGATGCTTTTATTGTGTGTTTTTTCTTGGGGGGGGGAAGCAAGATCATGGCCCATTCATTAGAACTGGAATTCTGTACAACACCTACAAGTGCACGTGCTTTATGGCTAATGCCGCTTACAAAACATCATAGTTTTAGTTTTGTAATATTACCAACCAATAAATTAGTGATTATCAATGTCTGTTAAAAATACAAACTCTGAGTGAGTATCGTATAACTAAAGCTAAAACTAAGGATAAAAGGTATCTGGTATACAAATACGAATAATTCATTACCCTTATAATAAATTCATTATTGTCTGTTATTTTCGAAATGTAATTATTATTGAGTTCATAAAAAATTTGCTAGTGATATTATCACATTACTTATAAACAGATTGTTGTATAGATTTTCTAGCTGTCTAAATATGAAATAGCAAATATGTTAACCGGAATTATATTAGCTAGATTGCGAATAAGCATTTTGTTATGC